TCAGGAGTGCAACACATTTTTTTTTTAAAGATTCAAGTTATATGACTTCTATTCATGCTAAGAAATATTCTTTAATTAATAATGATCTATTTGAATGATTTACTACTAAATTATTGACAGTTTTATTATTAAAATCCTTCTCTTTTTCAATTTTATCATTTGAGATGTGTGTGTGTTTTTTTTTTTTTTTTTTTTTTTTTTTTGAAATCTTTTTCTTTGATTTTTTTTTTATGAATTGTAAAAAATAAACACACTGAAAAATTGTTATAAAATTCAAGTAATTCCACCTTAACTTTACTGAAACAACAGAGCAATGTTCTGATTTAATTTAACAATTCTACTTTAAAGACTCCAATGCTCTTGGTCAAGAGTGCTGCTGATCCAAAAATGAATAAATATAAAGAAAAAAATTGATGAGTTGAATATTTCTGGTTGACCTCAGTTGCTTACAGCGTTTGTCCTGTGAAGGAAAATATACTATAAAATATATTTTATCTTCTAAATATATAATTTAGATAGTTTTTTTTAAACATAAATAGGGAATGCTTTAAGATATAAAGCCAAGTTTAAATAATTTCATGTGTTTTAATTATGAAATATTGGACTTTAAACATCGCACATTTCATTATCACTTTATGTTGCCAACACTTTGTGAATTTCTGTGTTCTATGGTTTTAATTTTTAATTTTACTTATGTCAGGAGTGCAACAAAACTGTTTTTATAATTACCAATGGCCTTCATCTATCCTTACTAAAAAATAAATTGAAAAAAAATGTTTGATACTATTTGATGTTCAAAACATTATGCCTATAAACTAATTACGGACATTTTACAGTCAATTCAGAGAATACTTTTCATCACTTAATACATACTAGTATTTTTAAATACAATGTATATATATTACACATTGCAAATAATAATGTATTGAAGTCCTGGAAATATGAAAAACTTGTCGTAAATGATAAAAAATATCAAAACGACAAACTGATTTACAAACTAAGAATGGGTTATTGTTAAATATTTAAAATAATATTTATTTATTAAATGAAATACATATCAGATGTCAGGAGTGCAACACAATATTATTGAATAGGGTCACTTCAAAATGTAGTATATTTTGTAAGAAAACTTGTACATTGTATATCAAAATTCTTTTTTGGCTTACATTTAAAGAACTGCCTTAGATGGACGAAAAATGATTTGGGGGAATTCTATTGTTTCATATTTCTTTCATAATGAAACTTTCTAACCAGAATTGAAATAAAATGGTGTAAAATAACAATCAAAAAACCAATTTTTTCCCACATATACAAGAGAAGAAACTGAATCAAGGTTTAGATCTAATCATTTATATCCCTGATGCCATTTTGAAGCATAAAAACTATAATTTCTTTTGATTATGTATTTTAGGGTGTAGTGATATTTTCCTCTTCCAAATGATTTTACTAATAAAAATTTTGAAACTTTTTTATCCAATTGTCTATTCTATTGCAACTTCAGGAATTTTAACCAGAAAGTATACATATAAAAAATGATGATATAAGCGAAAAATGTGTTATGGGTAATTGAATTTTTTTAAAAAAAAATTTCAAGTTGGTGGTCATTATATTTTAATTCACCCATATGACATAATATAATGAAATATCTACTGTGTTCATTTTCTTCGTTTATTAAATATATTAGACGAAGGCCCATGCTCAAAATAGAAGAAGTTGACATACATACCCGATATGAATATTTTTTATTAATAAAATAGAACACCGTTTACATAGAGAATACTAAGAATTCAGACAACTTGATAAGCTCTGATTACCAGCCAGGTAGACGTAGTTATTTTTATCAAATAATCACTAAAATTGATTTCTCCGAAATAAGTATTTTACATATGCTCCTCAAATGGTGAAAGAATAAATGGAATAAATTGTTCCGTTTCTTATTTTGTTGGGCACTCTCATTCTGTCGTTACAAACATTTTATCTGGAAATATTTTAGTGTTGCTTAGAAATGCTAAAGTAATGCGTTTTATTCAATAACATCAAATTACATTTGTTATATTGATAATGACCCCATAATTCAAGTTTTATTTTATCCACAATATTTTTGTACCCATTTCCTAGTTTACACATAGTTCAGTATTCTGTAAGGATATATATATATATATATATATATATATATATATATATATATATATATATATATATATATATATATATATATATATATATATATATATATATATATATATACAGTAAAAGATAAAAACACATTTTTTAAAATGTGATACCATGGATTAGTTTCTATAACGAATGTCGCTTTTACAAAAAAAAAAAAAAAACAAGAAAAAAACAAACAAAAAAACCCCCAAAAAACAAAAACAAAAAAAACAAAAACCTCCAGTTTCCTTGAATGCTGGTTGTTAATTAAATTAACAATCCAATAATAATTCCTATTTATTATATTTGACTTTTTTCAATAATAATTATACTAGGTAAATCCTTGATTATGCATTTCCAACTGTTTTCTCTGTGATAACTCTTTTAAATTCAAGTGTGTTGATTTCTCGATAATTACAACTGAATGGAAATTTGCCAAGTGAAAGGTCAAGTGCCTAATATGGATGTCAACTTCCCAAGGCTGTCATGTCTGACGTCAGCGGGCGGGGACTATGGAAATTAACATGGAATGCCTCGTGTATTTCATATCTAATAGACGGTATTTTTTATTTATATCTACATTTTTATTTCACATATAAATGTAAATGAAATATGGAGATAACGAACAGTAATTAAGCTCAAAAGTCCATTGAGACGATACAAATTCGGAGCAGAGCAAACACGGACCTCAAAAAACATCAGATGTGGAATCAGGTGTCATGGAGGAGTAAGCATCCCCTGTAGACGGTCACACCTGCCGTGTGCTTCTCGTCAAACGGGCAAACGAAAAAATCCGTAAAAAATTTAGTATGAAAATAATGGCCTAACGATTTGTATGAAAAACTTCAGTCAACACCTGACTTAATGATAGAATGTATTTGCTGACAAGGTCGTTTTATCGACCATAGAATTTGCAAAATGTTGACTTTAAACGAAACTGTTGACATCCTTAATTGTTTCATCAAATTATTTGTCAATACTAGCTTGCCTCGTTTTAGAAATTGTTCGTACGTAGAGCATGCTCTTGCGTATCGAATCAACTCGGAGACATAAACTCCATATGCAGGTGATAATGGTATATTGCTACAAAAATAAGGGAAGTTGACAATAAAAAAAGTTAAAGTTATCATAAAGTTTTGTTGTTCGGCTACTATTAACGTCTTTTTCTAGGAAAATATCCAAATATGAAACAGATGTGTCAGACTCTGTGGTATTTTATTTCGAATTCAAAGGGATATATTGAATCAACGTAAGAATAAACATAAACGAGCATGCAAATTATCCCACGTTTCCAACTGTCGTCAGTGTCCTGGCATACGCAACAAACTATACAGTGATTCCTTAAATAACGTCTTAATTCATATGACTTCACATAATAATTCTTGCAATTAAACGGTTAAGCAAATTATCAGTGCATCACACAACTGTTATTGGCTTATATATATACACACACAAAAAATAGACACTTCGAATAAATGAATGGCTTCTGCATCATCTAAAGCCCGGACTGAGACTGTCTAAATTACACCTTCAGAGATTCATTTGTTTAGTACAACAATATTCGCCTGCAGCTTTTTCGCAATGAAAGATAAAGTAAATACATGTATGTGAATGGGGATGGACACACTTGCATTGCTGTTTTCCATACAAATTTGATTTTCTCTATTTATTTAAAAAAATAGCTTCACTTTAATCAATTAAACTTATATGAATCCTTAGTACTCAATGATAATGCATCTTGATAACCTTAGAAGGGCACGAGCTCCGTTATTGCAGCCGGGAGGACCGGGCTGCTCTCTCTATATATAAGTTTATGTTTTGATGTATGGGATTGAGGTGGGAGAAGTTATTCAGAATTAAAGGTTAACTATACATTAAGAAGATTATACATCAGAATGTTCTTTCCATGGCAACATCAATGTTTTCTTGTTGTATTTGTTAACGTTTTACCGGATGTTCTCGATTTGCTGGCATTGCTCACATCACTGATCACAAACTGACAAAACTAGTGTGTTTTGCTTCTTTATTTTTTTATTTATTTATTTTTTTTTACATTTCTTTGTTGACTTTTCTTGATAATAGTTTTAATATCTTTTATTGAATACACCTCAGATTTCCCACTTCTTTTGAATATTTTTGTTCGTGAAAGTGCAAGGATGTATGATAATCAAACACGCACAAACAAGGAAAAGTATTGCAGTGATAAGAATTAATTTTCCACTTTGAAGTGAGCTGAAAGACAATGAAAGACAAATAAGAAGACAATTTGAATGAATTAAAGACACTTTAAACAATGTTTACGAACTGTGTTGTGAATATACCATATGCAAAACAAACCAGTTAGTTTTCTAAAGAGAAATCGAGCTTTTGATGAGCTACAACCTTTTAAAAATTTTTTAAAAAGTTGTTTTAAAATCTCTCAGACTGTGTCTGCAAAGATAATATTTATTTATTTTCGACTAGAAAACAAAAATTTGGTGTTTTTATTCACTTTTTGTTTTTAGATAAGTAAAATAGGGATTCTTGGTCCAGTATAAGAAGTAGAGAAGATATTACTTCAATATTGCAAGCCTAATTTTTAGTGGTAGATTTTAAACAGAGCAATGAAAAGATGTTGCTTTTAATATATTGTTTAAATGAATCGCTGTCAATCTAAGTAAATCATTGTATATTTTATATTTTGGAAGCAACTATGCAAATTTTCATAACTGTGCATGACATGCAATTCATTTCTGTACAAATGCCAAGCTCATTGTTGGATTAATCCATGTGAATTCACGGCTGACACTATTTTCAATATCTATTTTTTTTTTATCCTTTCACAGTATAAAACACTCAGAGCCACCATGAAAGCGGGGTTAGATAATTGGGTCGACATACTTGTTCTTGTGTTGTATTTTGTTTTCGTCTTCGTCGTTGGAATTTTGGTAATTATAATAACCCTTGAACTTTCTTTTAGTTGTGTAATCTTTTTAAAAGAGAAATTAAGCGTTTTTTGTTTCTGTCGGAAAGTCCTTATGGAGGAGGGATCGGGACACAACCAAGGGTTACTTTCTGGCGGGAAGATCCATGTTTTGGTTTCCGGTAAGTATGATACATTTATTTTTTTTAAATGTCTAATTTAATTGTCAAAAGAATTTCGGACAATCTGTTTAGAAAACATTTCAGCGAATGTTCAATTTGAAGAGTTTAATAAACACAAATTTTGGTGATACTTTTTTGGGGGCAAGAAATTATTTCCTTCTCCCCAAACAATATAATTTTGCACCAAGTCATCATATACTAGTACCAGGGGATATTTGAATACTGCTTAGATTGCATTTTTTTTAAAAATTGAAATAAATTTGACCATTTAAATAAAGTGAGCAAATTTTATCTGAAAAAGCTGTATTTTAAAAAGAAATAAATTGGAATTGCTACTTAGGTAGGGCAAAAATATAGTTTTAAAAAAAACCTGTCAATTCATCGACAAATATAATCACGGGGTACACAACTAGTAGAAATGACAAAATATGATAATATACTGTAATTAAAAATGTATCGATATAAAACAATCATATTTTACCTTGTTTAAAGTGATCTTTTTTAAGGTTTACAATTTAAGCAAGATTAGTAAATTGTGAAAAGGTTAATGCAATAGGTTATTAGCACTCCTTTTGATCATATAAAAATATATAGTGAACTTTGAACTTTGATTTCACTTTGAATGAAAAAATATTAATGCAATGAACACATTTGCGCAAGTTGGTCTTTACAAGGTATTAATTTCTGGAATTTATGCTGACCAAAACGAATCAAACATGAGTAAACATATTTTTGCATCGAAGCTGAAGATCTAATTTAATGACCTGATTTTAGAAACTAGAACAGATACTGAGGAATGCCGATAATAAGATAGCAATTGTGATGTGTTGCAAACAGGTCAGCAGTGACAAAAGTGTTGATAGAATTCATCCTTATCCTTAGGTAACACAGAATTCTGAACCAATGTCTGTATCATATTTTTCACATCTTTGCAAAATAAAATCGATTGAATTAACCTCTTCACATTTTACAAATGAAAAACATATCATGTAGGGGGATGCAGACAGAAAGCGATGGATAAAACTTCTCTCGAACTGTTGGATCGGTAAAGCTATTAATTATTAACGTGCATAAAGGACAAGGTATGGTAACGACCGACTTTGGCCCTTTATTTGATACAAAAATCAAAACACAGTTATTTCTAAGAGACACCAAAACCAGGGGCCAAAAAGGGTCTTACCCAATCCTGTTCTTTGCATGTATGATTTACAACTCAGTTATATTTCGTAGATTGGTGCGTCTTTGTTTGCCAGTAATATTGGAGCGGAACATTTCATTGGTCTGGCAGGGAGTGGTGCGTCAAGTGGAATTGCCGCGGTGACTTTTGAATGGGGGGTAAGGAAAATCAAAATAATGGCATTAATGAAAACTTGGCACCGAGATGTTTAGTTTTCTTCTCCTTTCCTTTATACAGGCTGCATTTTGTTTGTTGATGTTGGGATGGGCTTACCTTCCAGTTTACCTTACATCAGAGGTAAGCAAAGTTTAAGAACAGTTGGTGTTCTTAATGAATGCATAGATTGGAATAGATTTTTTTACTTATTTTGGTTGTTAATGATACACATATCAAATTCCTAATTATCAATAATTTGTAAATTTTCTATGATGGTAAAAATTCTTATTTAATTTTTCCTGTCCTCCTTATAAATCTATGCATTTTTTCATTACTTTATATGACAACATTGAGAAATCTTGACAAAAGATTAAATTTTATACAGCTAACCTTATTCATTTTATTTACATAAACATAGATTTAGTATATATTTTCAAAATTAAAAAAAAAAACAAAACAATTTACTAATATATTATTTCTGGTCCAAATATTTGAATAAAGTCAAACATTGTCATCTTGAACCCGACGTAACCAAAATTATACTTTGAGATATTAGAGCTAGAAGATTCTAGATAACGCGTATAAAAAAATAAGAAAACATTGTTGGGACTGTCAACTTCTTCGACAAACTAGTATCCCTGGCATTCGAGATTTTGGTGTTCGAGATAACGAAGTTCCACTGTAATTGTATTGATTGTAGTCAGCATTTATATTTTCAACTGTGACAATGATTCTCTATCATTTAAGGTTTATACCATCCCAGAATTCCTGAAACGACGATTTGGTGGAAAAAGATTAAGAATATACCACAGTCTGATCCTTCAGCTGTCTTACATTGTTACCAAAATATCTGTAAGTTAAAAGTACCCGTATTATCATTCATTTATTAACCGTTCAGGTAAAAGGGAGAGCAAAACCTCTACCAACAACGGTGAACAAGGATTCGATTCTCAAACAAAGTATCTAAAAAACTACAAGTGCCGAATTGTAACAATTTTTATGGGTAATACTTTTGCTGGGAAGAGGAGGAGTCAATTACTTTTGTGATGTATCTGATTGTTGAAGTGTATTTTTGATGCTAGAAAAGTATCTCTAATGTGTAAAAGATGAAGATAACGAACAGTGATCAATCTCATAAATACAGTAGACAAAGAGGTGGGATCAGGTCCATAGGAGAAGTAAGCATCCCGTGAACCCTCCGTATTGATCAGGCATACGGAGTACCCCGTAGTCAAATTTAGCACAAAATCAATTACCTTACATATGGTATGAAACATGTCGGACAAAATACGACCCAACGATAGATTGTATTTACAAACAAGGTCATTATAACGACCGTAGAATTTGCGAAAAGCTGGCTATACGGGGTTGTTGAAATCCTTGTAACATCAACTTATTTGTCAGTAGCCTGCCTCGGTTAAAAATCAGAGCATGCTCTAGCATACCGAATCAGTAGAGAGAAATAAACACCATATGCTGGTAATGTTGAAATATTACTACATAAATAAGGGTACTTGACAATGGAAAAGCTGAAGTCATCCCGTTAGTAATATAGTTTAATTATTACTTGGCCATTATGTGTTTACTCAGTAAAATATCTAATTATGAAGCAGATGTGGCAGACTCTGAGGTGTCTTTTATTTCGATGTCACTGGATTATATCGAGTACATATGAATGAAAGTAACTATTGTTAATTGATATCTAAATGTTTAGTTGAAGGCTACAGCAAGCGTTTTTTACTTCTCGTGTTGAAGTTTTTGAATGTTTTGCTTCATGGAAATAAAAAAGGTCGGCTAATAAAGAAGGACAATTAGTATTCATGGGAATTCCAACTTGGAATTAAATTGATTTACACTGTTCGTTACCTTCACATTTTATATTTATACCACTTCTTGGATTAGCTGCAGAACTGTAGCTCTCCGAAAAAAAAAATTGACAGACCGGAGAGCTACAGTGCCACCTATAGAAAAAACTGTATATTTATTGCGCACAAAAAAGTGCGCTGTTTCTCGATTTATTTCTCTGTATTTTCAAACTGCAATCTCAAAATATTACTGACCGTGTGTTCCTAACACATTTTTTCACTATTTCCACATCAAAACATTTCCTATAACGGTTATTACCCTTGTTAATAGCCCTCCTGACATTGAGATAATCCAAAATTTCGCCTGTTAATACTGCCATTTTGGGTGGCTAGACAATTCGGCCAAACACGCTTCGTCAAGATGTTCAACTACATGAGTAGTTAAACGAGGTCTAAGGAATTTGTTGAAATCTAGCTTTTGTGCAGTTGAGGTAAGAATATGGAGAAATAAATCCAGAACCGAGCGCAACTGTTTGTGCGCAATAAATGTACAGTTTTTTTCTATGGGTGGCACTGTAGCTCTCCGGTCTGTCAATTTTTTTTCGGAGAGCTACAGTTCTGCAGCTATTCTTGGATATGTTGTAGCACAAAAGTCTTAAGTTTTTCCTCCACAGCAGTTAATATTTTGGTGAGGAGTAAGAATAAGGGATTGGATGAACATTTACTGGACCCTGCAATATATCTTTGTTTGAAAGGATTTTATGAAGTATTGAAATCCAGTATAGGTACGCTAAATCATAATCACTTCCATTGACTGGAATGTTAAAAGTATTAAAACTGAAAGGTGATTTTGAAGAATTTCATCTTTTGAAATGGAACTGTGAGTATAGGTTGGCTTACCAGATGTGGAATTAAAACTGAGTTCTTCTAAAATGCAGTTTTAATAATAAGCCTTACAAACAAAGACTAAATTTTTACAAGCTTTGTCAGCTGAGACAAAAACATATTTTCATGTAGTCTTTCTAATTCTTTTATCATTTCTGGTCCCAAGACCATAAAGTGAGAAAAAAAACTTAAGTTAAAATTTCAAATCAATATAACTTTTGAAATAATTTTGACAACAAAACGCAATTTTTACCATATTTTTAAATTGGAATATTATACAACCCTGAAAATTTGATAACGTTTAACTAACTATGTATTATACATGACAAACTATTCAAAATCAACATTTTGACTTACGTCTGTTCTCAGTTTATGGTCTCGAGGCCTGGGCTCCCTTAATTTAAGAACTTTTGAAATGATAGATTTTAGGTCTTCATTTTGAACTATACCTACATCACTAGTAATGATGCATTCAGCTGGATTATAGTTTAAAGAAGAGGAAGAACAAGAACACATGGGAGGATTTTGTTTTAGATGGTCAATCCACGCACTGTTGAAGTTTTTTCATACGTGTAATTAAAATTTTGAATGCAACGGTTTGGGGAATATCTGAAAGAAATTCAAGATGTAGACTTAAACTTAAAATATGGTGGCATACAAGACTGAACCTTTTTATTAAGCAAGAATGTCGATAATGTTTACATGTTTATCTTTGTTTGCAAATTTAAGCTTAAGGAATCGACGGGTTGATTCGGAATTATTAAAGAGCCTGTGTTGGGCACCACCCTTAATCACAAACAATAGTTTGTATTCTGGTATTGAAGAATCCAAGTATGAACTTGTTTTAGCTTCTTTCGAATAACCAATGTAAATGTTTCAAGGGCACATAGTACAGTTAAGTGCGAAACCTAATTGTTTATTGAGGAAAGGTAATAGCGAATCAAATGAGATATCGTGTATATTAACGATGCCCATGACTGCTCTTATACGTATGGCACGCCGATTGCTTCAAAATTATTTTCTGCACGACCTAAAACAAAAATTACACGAGTAAGTAAAAACTTACACAAAGTGAGGAAAATATACACGAAGCTATTGAAATTTACACAAACTATAGAAAAACTGCGCAATCAACAAAATATTTACACGATATAGTGAGGAAATTACACAAACGTAAAAACGAAAACTGCACGAGTGAGAATACAACATCGACATAATATGCTACGCATCCTCATTGCGCACATTTCATTAATATTCATTAGAGAACAGTTCAATGTGGTTTGGATGCTTGAAACATACTATAAAATTTTTACAAAAGGAGGAGTAATTAACGTGTTGGTAATCTTTTTAAAAAAGATTCTTTTAAAATTCCGCTAGACTCCCAAGAATATATGTACAACGTATATTATACATGTAGATAAATTGACAGGCACACAATCTTAAACTTGTAGTATATGAACAACCCCGAATAAAAAAACATTCTTCACAGAATACTTGTATAGATAACGTAAAAAAGGGGGATGCATATTACCAGTTGTGTGTTTAATTGTTGGATTTTTAAAAGTATGTCATTCCTCTATATAGCAATTTCTTTTGAAAGTTTAAAAAAATGACATAAAGGCCTAAATAAAAATAAATAAAAACATGTGATATAATACAGGAGAGTTAACAACAAATCAAACTCTTCTCCTCCACCACCTACTGTGTGTACTTTTGGTAATAATCAAGGATGTGCATGCGTGACCTTTTCATACAGAGATCCTTCCCTGCTGGTTATGGAACGAAAGACACATGTACGCTAATCGATTTATAGCTATTTGACACACCAATAATACCTTTTGATTAAAGATTATATTACTAGCAATTCATTTTTTTTGAAGCAATGTTGCGATCATCTGGATTGTGGATTGACCGTAAACTTTTTGGAAGTCAACAGTAAAGAAAATCGAGCAAATATTAATTGTGCAACTTAAATTTTAATATTGAAACGCATATCTCACTTTTTGGTATATGTATGTAACAAAGTACATGTAGTACATGTAGTCTTAACTTTTGTGCAGCGTGTGGTGATTTCATAAAAACTCCAAGAAAATGTAGAAAAAATATACAGTCGTTTTACTTGTGTAAATTAAAGTTTAATTTATGTTGTTCTTGATGTATCGCGGTAGTCTATTTTGAATAGTTAAAATTCATATAAAGGTGTTAAGAAAATTTAAAATTATAAAATACAGGCAAGTAGTATCGTTTTTGAAAGCGGGGGAGGGGGGGGGGGAGTCAGATTTTTTTTTTTTTTTTTTTGACAACCTACCTGAAAAAACAAAACAAGTATTTTCGAAACACATTATAATACCAAATTACTTTGATTTAAACTATCCTACAACAAAGGGAGGGGGCAACCAGCTTTTCAGTGGAAATTTACAATAGAAGTAGGTTATGTTTGGAAAAAAAGTGGGGGGAGGGCAGACCCCTCCTGATGCTACGTGCCTGAAATATTTTCTAAGAATTTAAGGGTACATAAAATAGTCTATCGAAATCAGGATTGCAATTCAACTGAACTGTAACGATATTGTAAGACCAAATTCAAGAAGACATACAAGATGAACTTAATTAGCTGGGACTTGGCTACACATGCACATTTATTTTCAATGTGCAGATTTTGACAATAATAAACACACGGTAATAAAACAAAGATTTCTTGAGGTCATCATATGTTTTCTTATATTTATTCGTAGTCATGCTCGAAGTAAAACAAGACCTGGTTGATGCCATTGATACACATGTACAATATTGCTATAAAGCAAACTTTTTAATTATTTGTACATGTATTCGTACAAAATACAAATTGCATAGATTAGGCTTTTTAACTCATAATCTGATTTTTCAAAAACGTTAGATATGCACATGAATAGTCTTTTAAAAAGTGAATCTTGTATCAAATATGTTCCTTGAATATTATTGAAGATTATTTTCATTTTATAATTATACAGTCATTTTTTTTTATAATGACTATAGATTTGGGAAAAAAGTGTTAGTCTATTACAAAAACTTAGTGTTCGGAAAATAATTAAAATTTTATGCATACGAATTCGAAATGTAAAGAGAAATTGTTGTCTTGGAAAATATTTGTCAAACCTCGAGCTCCATAAAGAACATGATTTATTTGCATTATTTAAGAGTGATACAACACATTCTTTGTTCTTTCTATTTATTATAATATCCATCCCCTTTTCTTATTTGTAACATTGTACGTAGATGTATTTAGTAATTCACTATGTTTTAAAATTTCTGATGTGTCATTATGGTCCAACGATTTGAAACTTTAATAAATACATAGATTCAGATGTTGCTACTCTATCAATCCACGAACCAGATCCGCCACTGATGATATGTTTTACCGGTGCCAGGATCATTTGAGTAGAGTTTTGTTATTTCATTTGGACAAATTTTAAGTAACAAAACACAAAACCGCATGTACTAAAGCACACAGAGTATATATATTTTCCCTTTATCTGGTCCTATTTATTAAAAGTGAAAACATTTATCAAGTAATCGCCATTACGAATGAGGGTAACGCTTACCCTTAGGAATGTCTTGTTTTTTATTGAGTAGTTTATGACTGAAAATATGTGATATCATGGAAGGAATTCATAACAGTGTAGGCTACAGATGTCCAACCAAAATTGATATTCTCATATTTTATAAGTAAAGATACATGTATAATTAGAAAAAAAATATTTTTTATGTTTGACTTTAAAAACATACTGTATGTATCTAAGGTCAGGTAATTCCCACTTTTTAATCTATGAAAAAAAATCTGCCCAAATGAATTCATAATTAGTACAAATGAGAAGTACCAAAATGAATTCTACAATTTAATGATTATAATCAGCAATAATTCTGCCATCATTTTCATGAAGAATCCACGTTAGTAATTGTTTTATTACGCATGTTTTAATTTTATTTTTTACAAGTACTTTCCGTTAAAGTTGTATCTATAAGTTAGAGAATTTTAAAAGACCATAGAGCGTATTACTTTTAGTTCGGAGTCGAGTGCATCATATGCAATGGTACTTTTTTCCCCGCATTATAACACAAACATGCAATTCCTTTCTTATCACAATTTATGTCCGGCATCATATAATACCTCCATATTTTGGCTAGGATCTCGGTCAATATAAGAAAAATATAATATCTCCAAACAACTTAAAATTTTTTTCACACAGTTCACAAGAAAACATTTCATTCGTTCGATTGGCATTAGCTAGAAATCGGATCGAGTTTTAGCAAAGAAATAAAGAAGCAAACAAACATGCATATCATCGTCAACGCCATTTTCTCTCGATTACACCCAGCATTCAAGAAGAGATAAAGAGTACAGAAAACCAAGAACACAATGAATATTCTATATGCATAATAATGATATGCGCAGCTGTATGCGCAGTAAAATTGTTTGTGTAATTTTTAGTTTCCTCTGCTCGTGCAGTTTTTGACTTTACGTTTGTGCATTTTATACCCCTTAATCGTGTAAAAAATTTCGGATTCGTGTATTTTTCGTTATGTTTGTGTTAAAATCTTTCAAACTATGTGCAATTTTTACCGATACGTGCATTTTTATTTTACTCGTGTATATTTTTCATCAAGCTCGTGTATAAAATCGTGATCGTTGTGCAGAAAATAATTTTGAAGCAATCGGCGTGCCATATATACGCCTTGTTGTGCTCTCTTATTGTAGCTTCACCAATCAAACATGTATATTTTGCATTACTCTGAAAAATACGCAACAATTAATTCCCAAATTTCTTTTACAGTGTGTATTATAATGTATGATGGTACTGAGAATATCAAAATAATGTATTTAATTTTATTATGATACAAAAACAAGAAGAACCTTGCAGGTGGACGTATTCGCTGGTGCCGTGTTTATCCAACAGGCCGTGGGTTGGAACACATACCTTTCCATTCTAGTTCTGTTGGCTGTCACTGCTATATATACTATTGTAGGTAAGATCGTTTACCTGATCAAAATTCAATTTGAAAAAGAATTTATTTGCAAGTTTTCTTTCGTTTCCGGCTAACCACCAAAGACGAATCAAAACAAGGTTGAAAACAAACAGCAGCAATATCGCAGATCAAAGAAGGACTTTCAATTTTTGAATTCCTGCAATTTGTCAACAATCTGCAGTTCTGTGAAATATGAATTTCATTAAACAGACACGTATTTTAGCTGATAATAACAAAACAAAAATTCCAGTTTTTAATATCAGATGAATTGAGAATTATTTTGAACGTCGATATTCAACAGGGGGCTTGGCTGCTGTGATATTTACAGACACTCTACAGACCATCATTATGATTGTTGGTGCAACAGCCCTGGCCATTTTGAGTAAGTTTCTTTTCTCTCAATTTCATTACAGTACTTCTTCACTCACTAAATGATTCTTATAAAATAGCCAACATTAATTTAAACTTTTATAGGTTTTATAAAAGTTGGCGGTATTTCTGCATTAATGTACAAGTACTTTGAAGCCATTCCTCAGAGTGGGGACAGTCTTGTGACATTATCTGCCAATCTGTCCTTCTCAAACACCACCTACAACCTGACGGACGCCATCTTGTCAAATGTCACGCAGCAGTGTGGCCTGCCTCGTTCTGATGCTTTCCACATATTCAGGGACCCCGTTAATTCGGATCTTCCTTGGCCCGGTGTGATGATACGAACCACTCTGATCAGTACTTGGTTCTGGTGCTGTGACCAGGTTATCTTCAACTATTTCTTCCTTTTAGCAGGAACGAAGTCTTATCAGTGAATGTTTTTCTCATTCTATACCTAAGTAAAACTCTGTCATTTCATCAATGGTAATTTTAACAGTTGATCGTTCAAAGAACACTGGCTGCCAAAAATATTGCGAATGCCAGAGCATCTACCATCTTTGCTTCCTACCTGAAGTCTTTACCTATGTTTCTTATTGTTCTTCCGGGAATGATTAGTAGAATATTATTTCCAGGTACGGTGATATGGCACATATTTATTTCAAGTTTATGTCGGTTAACTTTTAGAATCCTTTATACCTTTAAAATCTTCTAATATATATTCCCTTTTCATTTTTTCAGACACTGTTGCATGCGTAGACCCAAAAATATGCATGGAAGTTTGTGAAAACCCAGCTGGTTGCTCGAACATTGCATATCCTCAACTGATTTTAGATCTGGCCCCTACAGGTAGCGTATATCATAAATCCATTCCAACTTAACTTGCAACATACTACTTAACCTTGTAGTTGTTTAAGATATCTGCAAAGCTAATTAAATAATGAATTCGTAAATTGATGACGTTATTCCAGGCATGCGTGGACTTATGATGGCAGTAATGATAGCTGCCCTAATGAGTTCTCTGACGTCAATCTTTAACAGCGCCGCCACTTTGTTCACGCTAGATCTGTGGGCACGTTTCAGGAAACAGGCTGCGGAGAGAGAGCTGCTGATTGTTGGAAAGTATGCGAATCTGACAAAAGCTATATTTCTGCTATGTTCAAAATCTTGAAATAATTGCTGAGCTATTATAATGGGTGGTTTATTGATGGATTTCAGACCTGTAAGACCACTTTAACAAAGTTGTGGATATTGAAACTTTCATGATCAAAAAATGGTTTGGTTTGCTTGAAGATATTATTTTTTCACACTAATTGTCAAAATCCAGAGGCGGTTATGTACTGGTTAATAAGGTGCTTAGACACAGATTTGAACTTAATATTTTCTCAAATTTTCTGTATAATATCACGACTTATATATTGCAATAACATTTCACACGAAAATATAATTAAAAAACTTATTTTATCTGGAAATTATTGGAACTATGAATTCCGGGACGCGTTTGATTAACACACCTTTGCACTTACACAAATTTTAACTCTATCCTTAATATTTAAGAAAAGAAGCGATTTTGTTATGTATTAATGAAAAATATTACATCTATAATCCAGAAAATTCAGAGTAGATATGTTCGAAATCAAAACCAACTCACCAGTATTGTCAGTACGTGCTCTGTGATGTGTACAGAGTTTAACAAATTGAACACACCCGTGAAACGTAAACTGTTTTTGTAAACAGGGCACGAGCTCTGTTATTGTAAATTTTTACGATTCACCGGGTTTGTTCAATTGTTAAACTCTGCACACACCACTGAGCACGGACTTACAATACTGTGAGTGGGTTTTGCTTTCGAACATTTCTACTCTGAATTTTCTGGGGTTATAGTTTTAATATTTTTCATTAATACACAACAAAATTCCCACTTTTCTTAAGTATTAAGAATAAAATTAAAATATTTGAAAGCGCAAGGATGTGTCAATCCAACGCGTCCAGAAATTCGAAGTTTTAATAACTTCGAGATGAAATAAGATTTTTATTATGTTTTAGTATGAAATGCTATATCAACATATATAAGTCGTGAAATTATACAGAAAATTTGAAAATTTTTTAACTTCAAATCTGTGTCCAAGCACCTTTAATAGAGATATATGGTTTTGTATGTTGGATGAAATGATTTTTTTTTTTCAGACTGTACTGCTTTATATGCTGTGAGTGGGGCAACTGTTCATTCCGACACATACCGATATAAGCTCAAATTGCGGGAGCACCCATATTTCTGATAAAATAACTGAGATGGAACAAATAAGATGCTTATTTAAACATGCTTCCTTCAATCAAACTTTTTGTATAATCTTTTCACCATTTCATGAAATTCTCTGTAATATCAAAACGAGACTAATTTGTTGAGCTGTTCTATTTTTACCCTTAGGGTTTTCATAGTCTTGTTAGTTGGAGTCAGCGTTCTCTGGATTCCTTTGATTCAAGCGGCCGAAGGTGGACGACTCTATTTTACAATTCAAGCCCTAACAGGATATCTGGCACCTCCGATTGGAGGGATTTTCTTGTTGTCGATATTTGTCCCTAGAGTCAACGAACAAGTATGTATAAAAATGTCAAAACTGTCTACATGTATACTTTGATGGTGCATTGAAACAGGGGCATTTATATAATAAATAGATCCTTGAAATAGATCACAGGGGTTTGAACAGGAAAATAGAAAGCATTGTTGTAAAGAAAAAATTCTTGCATTATTTGGGGCCACATGTATGAACCTTTTAAAAACACATTTTAAACTCTCTGACATCTTAAAAAGATCAATACGATGATTTGATCACTTTCAAAATCCAATGCTGTATTGTTTTTGTTTATTTCTTGTGTAATTAGAAAATATTATTCAATGACGACCAATCCTTTGCAAAATTATCGCCGGGTACCCTCGCCTGATCTCGGCTTTTACTGACTACAAGGATGAGATCAGCCATGGGTGGTACCAAATCAGGCTCTGGACCTTATACTTCTGATATAGACAACTCTCTTCACTGTTCAATGTGGATTTCACCACAATTTCAAAGCCAAATCGCGAGAATTACATTATGCTTACCCAAATTTACGTCCCATGAAATTAAATCTTTTTAATGTGCTGTTATATACATGTACGACTTTGATAATATGGAATCTATCAGAATAATCGAAAATTAAATTATATCAACTCATAGAAAAAAGATTCAATTCATTTTGTTCAAATATTTGACAAAAAAACGGCAAACCTACCTTTAACAAACCTTTCCGGACAGGGTGCTTTCTGGGGGATGCTAATTGGACACGCTGTGGGCATAACACGCATGATCCTAGACTTCATTTACCCGTCACCTAAATGTGGAGAACCTGACACACGCCCTTCTGTGGTTGCCGATATCCACTTTACGTATTTCTCTGTCCTATTGCTGGGTCTATCATGGACTGTATGTCTCATAGTCAGTGCTTTTACGAAAGCACCATCAAGAAAAGCGGTAAGATTTTGTCTTCTTTAGGAATCAATGCCAATATTGACCGAATTGTTATAAAAAGGAAAAATACAGACTGGGTTCTCGTATGCTCTTTTCTGTAGTTGAAAGGGTTGACCGTTTGGACAACTGACAAAATAGGACCGCGTCCACAGGAAGATTATACTTTGGTTTCAACAGAAGATAAAAGAGAAAAATCAGGTTCGTTATAGAATGTAGAATTGTTATCAACTGTGTGCGAATTTTTTCGAGATAAGTAAAGATTAAGTTTTTAAAAAAATGTCTTGAAGTTGAGTATATGGGATCGTCCGAATGATATGTTCTAATCTAATGATATCGTGCATTTTTTTTTCTTTTTAGAAATGATGAAAATCAGAGAAATATCGGTCGATGTCTCACAGGAGACAAACGAAAATTCGAAGAACGAAATGTCTAAGGAAGAGGCAGAAAGCAGCAGTACATCAGAGGAAAACGAGGACGGACCCGGATTACGGATCAGAAGAAAATTATATATGAGCAGAAAAACAAATATCATCTTAAATATCAATGCAGTTATTCTCGTAGCAGTCTTTGTGTTTCTCTATGCAATTTTCGCATAGAACAGCGCATATTAACATGTTGAGAACAATATAGGTGAATATATTATATAGCTTACTACTAAACGGATCAAACTTCTTCCAAGATCAGTAATTTTCCAATATATGTACATGTAATCTTATTCAGTGTAGTGTAATGTAGTGTTGACATATTCCTACCATGCAAAGGTTTTTTTTCTTTTTCTTCATATTTACCATAATATCGATGAGTGTCCTGAACTTTGTTACGAGGTAATGAATCAGTGTTTTACTTTTCATATCGATATTCACCAGCGGATAATAAATGATATGTAAGTTCAAACCTATGAAAAATGCATTAAGAACATCCATTCAATTATTACTATACCTTTTGACAAAACTGTTATAAAGTACATGTATATGCATGGCTTCTACAACTGATCCAAAACGGAATTACGAAATATTTGTATGTAGACATTGTGATTAATTGTGTTTTTTTTAAATACACAATTTGACATTTTTGTTATGTACAGAATCAATGTTTAACACTGGGGATGATTAAGTACAGTGTAGTTTTGTAGGAATCGATTCCGTTTGTCATTACGACGCTACAACTATACTTAGTATACATGTACATACAGAGGAAATAAATCATAATTTGAATATTGCAAAGTTATCGTTCATTTCTTTATGTCTTTAATATGCAGCAGAAACGCATTCCTAACAAAATTATTCATATGTATATGGTAAGTAAAACAAGATACTTAAAATTTTGTGATGGCCTACATTCCATATAAATTTAAGTTTATAACATTATAATTAAGTATTTTTTCGTATACAGGTCGCTTCTTCCTTTCTCTTTCCATGTTGTAAGAGAAGGGAGGAGGTGTTCTGGTTTCTGTGATGTTTCAAAATCGTCCACATTGATGGTACGTCTTCTTGTTAGCTTATTCGCTTATTCACAAAGGTTTCGCTATGAAATTAGTAAGAATTATTGTCGTAGTCGAAGCAATGATTGGAATATTATAACGCGACTTTTCGCTGCAGTTTTAGGGTTTGGTTTTTTGAATTTGACTGACTGACGAGTCACCATCAAATGGAAAGGCAAAAAATTCAGATGCCAGGATCAAAACTTTGGTCTAACAAACGCAAGGTATAAAGACAAGGTTTCTACAGAGAAATTAGGCTTTTAATAGGAAGCATGTCTTCATGTAAGTATGGTTCATTAAGAAGGTTACATGTACATGTATATACATTTTATCAGTGGTTCATTGAGAAGATTACTTATATCTTATCAGTGGTTCGTTGAGATTTCTCATATCTTATCAGTGGTTCATTGAGAAGGTTACTTACATTTTATTAGTGGTTCATTGAGAAGGTTACTTACATTTTATTAGTGGTTCATTGAGAAGGTTACTTACATTTTATCAGCAGTTCATTGCGGAGGTTACTTATATGTTATTAGTGGTTCATTGAGAAGATTACTTATATCTTATCAGTGGTTCGTTGAGATTTCTCATATCTTATCAGTGGTTCATTGCGAAGGTTACATACATCTTATCAGTGGTTCATTGAGAAGGTTACATACATCTTATCAGTGGTTCATTGAGAAGGTTACTTACATTTTATTAGTGGTTCATTGAGAAGTTTACATACATCTTATTAGTGGTTCATTGAGAAGGTTACTTACATCTTATTAGTAGTTCATTGAGAAGGTTACTTACATTTTATTAGTGGTTCATTGAGAAGGTTACTTACATTTTATTAGTGGTTCATTGAGAAGGTTACTTACATTTTATTAGTGGTTCATTGAGAAGGTTACATACATCTTATTAGTGGTTCATTGAGAAGGTTACATACATCTTATTAGTGGTTCATTGAGAAGGTTACATACATCTTATTAGTGGTTCATTGAGAAGGTTACTTACATTTTATTAGTGGTTCATTGAGAAGGTCACATACATCTTATCAGTGGTTCATTGAGAAGGTTACATACATCTTATTAGTGGTTCATTGAGAAGGTTACTTACATTTTATCAGCAGTTCATTGCGGAGGTTACTTATATGTTATTAGTGGTTCATTGAGAAGGTTACTTACATTTTATCAGTAGTTCATTGCGAAGGTTACCTACATCCTACTAGTGGTTCATTGAAATGGTTACTTACATTTTATTTCTGGTTCATTGAGAAGGTTTTATACATATTATTAGCTACATTAACAAAGTTACTTATAGCACTGACCTTAATTCTTCAGAAATGGTTAAAATCAATAAAGAGTGAGTGAAAAACTTTAGAGGAGAGAAATGAAGATTCCAGAATGAACATTTGAAGAAACAGAAACTCTGCATAAAGCTATAATGAGCAGGAAAACAAATATTAATCTGAACATATTCAAACTGATTAAATAATAAATTATGAAACTTAAACATTTACCAACTGTTTAAACTGACTCTTAAACACCATTTACCGGCTTCATCTATGATTCACCTATCGGGTGTTGAAATTAAGTGTACATTGTATACATCTGTATTTCAGCATTAGTACAAGTCAAAGAATAATTAACCAAAGAGGCAATACAAAAATACAAAAACAATTAGTAGAATGCAGGCGTTAATGTTGAGAAACAGATTAGTTTTTCTGTCCATGTAAAGTTTGTTTTTTCTGGTTGTCTCAGTTGACGGATTATCACTCCGGTCTGCCCTTGGATTAGATTCAAACTTTTCACTAACTGTAACTGAGGACTCAAGTTCAGTTTTGGCTAAAATAACAATATGTTTACGATATTTAGAAAATTGTCTAAATAAAAACACTTAATTACTAGTAAGGTTTTAAAATAATTATTTAAACAAGTTGCTTAACTTACCATGAAGCTCCAAGGTTTCATTTTCCATCGCTGGTTTATCCTCGTCCTCTTTTGATTTTGGTCTTATAGGTTCAGATGTCCAGAACGTCAGTCCTTTGAGCTTTGGGAGAATTTTAAATAATGAAAAAAACTAACGTATACAATTTGATTAATTTAAAAATATAATATATACCATCAAATATAATAGTATTTATTGTTACAAATTTTAAAATTTATGGTTTGGTTGAAATTTTTTTTTTTTTTTTTTTTTTTTTTTTTTTTTTTTTTTTTTAATATATATATATAATTTTCATGAAAGAAGATCTCTATTCTATTCATTCTGTAAACAGTTCAGTTTTATAATTTGTAGCGCAATGCATCATTATAGACCAACCTTTTCCATGCTTGGTCTTTCAGTCACTAAGCTAACCAAAATAATAACAACAGCAGCGAGAACCAGAAGAATGGCGGAGAAATATGTAAAATGGAGGTTTTTCACAACTCCAGGGCGGTCGTCTACCTTACCACATCCCGGGGAAGGGTAGACAAAATCTAGAACCATCCGGGTTAATCCAGCAATATGACCAATCACCAACCCCCAAAATGCTCCCTAAAATATCTTCAAGATTTTAAAAACAATTTATTTCTTTCATGTGATTACTAGCTTATAGCCCTAAAACGAACCAGTGGAAGTACCTGTTCGTTCACCCTAGGAACGAATATGGCCAGTAAAAACAGGGAACATATCGGGGGTGCTACGTATCCAGTCAGGGCCTGTATGTATAGAAAGAGTTGTCCCTGTTGGGCGGCCTTTATTAGAGGTATCCATAGAATACTGACTCCCACCAAAAGTACAACAAAAATCCTGGAATAACAATACTGTGTGTACGAAATACACTCATAATACTCATTAGTGATTTTTAATTTTTGTTTCTTTGTTAATTTAACTTTCTTTCCACCTTTGCAGTATATATCTGGACAGGGCGTTATATTAATCTATTTTTAAAATTATTTATTCATTTATTGTTTTTCAAAAAACAAACTTTAGATAAAAACGAGGGGTAAACGCATTGACGATGAGTTACACCTTCATTATGTTATAATATTAGAATCTGCTTACTTCCCCACAATAAGAAGTTCTCTCATTTATTCATTTATTGTTTTTCAAAAAACAAAATTTAGATAAACACGAGAGGGAAACGCATATACTATGAATTGCACCTTTATTATGTAATAGAATTAAAATCTGCTTACTTCCCCACAATAAGAAGTTCTCTCTCTGTAGACTGATTCCTGATCCGTTTCCAAATATCCATAGTGAAGAGAGTAGAGGCACTGTTAAAAATGGACGTCAGCGAGCTCATGACTGCTGCCATCATAACGGCTACCATCAACCCGCGCATGCCTGTTAAACAATGCATCTTTTTTTTCTTACCTCATTAGAGAAAAGCATCTTTATAGATTTATTGCATTATTCTGGCCCTATGATTTTGAAACGCGACTTCCCATACATTTTCCACATTCTTTCAACATATATTCTGACCTGTGGGTGCTAATCCAAGAATAAGTTGTGGGTATGCGATGTTCGAACACCCAGCAGCGTTATCACACACTTTCAGACATGTCTCGGGATCTGCGCACGCAACCGTTTCTATAAATTGAAATCTTCTAGTCTTAATGATTCATACATTTTGGAAAGTTCTTTATCGTTTTTTGAGGTTTCGCTGACGTTATCAACAAGAATTACCTGGATAAAGCACTCTACTAATCATGCCGGGCATTATGATGAGAAAGAGTGGCAGAAATTTCAAGTAGCTTGCCAAAATTGTTGCTGCACGAGCGTGCGCTATGCTTTTTGCAGCTAAAGTCCGCTGAACAATGACCTACAATACTGAAGTTGATGAAGTTTTTGGAAAATTTTACTAATACATACATATGCGTATAAATTATTGTAATATTATGGTGTTTCCCTTTAAGAATGTTTGATCTCCGAGGAAAAGATTACAGTCTTTTAATTTAGGCCACTTTCTTCTAAAAATAGTTCCAAAGTAGTTTTAAATTTCAATAAGCTTTTCATTAAAAATTAAAGAAAAGAGTACCTGACTAGCACACCAATACCATACAGAGACAAACGTTGATCTGATCAAGATTCCTGGCCATGGAAGATCTGACTTGATTGGATCTCTCAAAATGTGGAACGCATCAGAACGAGGCATTCCGCAAGTGCTTTCAGTCAGATTCGATTGGGTTGATGCGGAAAGATTTACGTAGTAGGGTAAACTACCATTAGTGAAGTTAGTTAGTATGGTTTCCGACGTAAGACTGAGAGGAATGGCTTCAGAATATTTCATCATCAGTCCTTGGATTCCACCAACCTTCATAAACGCTGCAAAATAATTATCATAAGCTGTATAAATTCCCTGCAATGATGTATGTGAACAATTCAAAAAAAGGATAATTTACCCAGAACGGATAGTGCATAACTTACCAAGAACAGATAATGCAATTGAGCCGACGAGCATGATGATGGTCTGAAGAGTGTCTGTAAAGATAACGGCGGCCAGTCCACCTGTTTATATAATGGGTTAATATCGTTAGTATAATGATACAGTATACCTGTTTGTTCAAATAAGTACATAGAATGACCACTGAGCAAGAAGTATGCTGCTTGTACAAATATTTGAAGCTGAGTGAGTATACTAGTACCTATAACTGTGTAGATGGCAGTAACTGTAAGTAGAGCTGCTATTGAAATATATGTATTCCACCCCAGAGCTTGCTGGACAAACACTGAGCCAGCATACACGTCCACCTGTTGTACAAGAGTGGTGTTTGAGAAGATTTAACACATAAAAAATCTTACAAGGAAAATTTAAGTAGACCAAGTCATTATAACAAAATTTAATCGATTTTATGGTTAGCTTTTTAAAGTAATTACATGGGAGAGGACTATCTAAGTTTTAGAACTTGTGTCCAATCCCTTTGACACATTGTCAATAAAATATGTTCAAAACAAACAAAGTAATTACAGTGAATAGAATGTAATGCCAATGGACTTACTGACGAATAAAATATACTAACCTCTAATTGGATAGTGAGGCATAGAGAGAAGAAATTATATCTTAAGCTTAGTTTTTATGCCAAAAAATGTCTTGCCGATATTTTTGTGATGATGTTTAGGAACTGTAGCAGTAAACTGAGGTACGTTCTGAGTCTTCGACCTCCAAATCTTCTGTTCAGATATTCAGGAATAGTAAATATCTTTATAAAAAAAAAATTTAAAAGTAGAAAATTAAGCCAGATTTTTGCTCAAAACTGCATAATATATGTATCATATATACTTCAAAGTATTGAATCAGTTAATTTTTTTAAGTGCACAATCAATGCTTGATTTTTTTAAAAAAATATTTTTGTTCGGATTATGTATCATTTACTGATTTTGTTTTCTTTTACTCACACCGGAAGTCAAATAAACAGGTAGAAAAACCCATCCAAGGAGCAGGAGACAAAGCACAGACTAAAATGACAGAATACGTTTTTAAAAGATGACAGATATGCAGAATCCTACTTTTGAAATGAGAAAATGTATTTTAAAGCAATTAAAATAGAAAAGTTTAAATGGTACGATTTGTGTAAAAAAAAAAAATCAAAAACAGCTAAAATAGATCTATTGTTAAACTTTATATATATCGCTTTCTAAGGTATATAAAAAATATTTTTGAAAAAAAAAATTATTCTGCCAAACCACGTACACCCCATTCGAACGCCACTACAGCAATGCCACTGGCTGCTCCACTTCCGGCCAAGCCGATGAAATGCTCGCTACCTATGTTGCTGGAGAACAACGATGCACCCATCTATAAAGCATATGTTTGAAGGTATTAATCTTTAGAGAGCAATGCCAACAAAGTTTTGTAAAACAAATATCGTTGAAGATTGATTACCATACAAACACTGTCTTATTTGATTATGTTAAGCTGGACAACTATAAAATAAATAAGCAGATAAAATATGGTGAAAGTTAAGCAAAAAAGATGTTTGTTTCTCTTTTATTCCTGAAAAAGTAATTTATATTTGCAACAAATACACGAAAAAGTTTTTCAGTGCACTAACATAAAAACATACAGAATCAAATACATGCACTGTATATCTTTCAAATGTAAAGATATAAAGATAGGTTTCAAATAAAGTTAAAGTACATGTAATTATAAATTATTAGATTGACATCTATGTATCATTTAATATATACTAACTGGGAACCATAGCATAGCCCTCCCTGCCAGAAAATAACCATCTGTAGTAGAACGCTCTTTGTGCCAAATGGACTGCAGGAAAGTCGATGAATTATATCAGTGATACCGTTGGCAAAGTAACGTTCAAATAATTATTGAGATTATCGAAATTTTTTCTCCATATATGGATTAATATTTTTGAAAATGTAACTTAAGAGAGAAGAAAGAGATAATTTATGGTATTTTAAAATAATAGGAACAAATTTCATCGTCTTACCCAGATTCCAACAAAAATGACGAAAATAAAATACAACACAATGACAGAAATGTCCACCCAGTTATTAATACCAGCCTCCATGATTCAAACAGTTTAGAAAAATGTACAGTAAACTGACCCCGCCGTTGAGCCACACAAATTATCTCGATATAGTCACATATGGTGTATTCAAATATACCTTTAGGATCTACAAACATACTCCAGAGACTGAGCACAGGTGTATACAGTTAATCAAGTGGAAAATAATGAAAATCCTGCATAAAATTACAATCATCAACGATGTTCATATCGTATTGGATGACCCACTTGGGGGAAATGGTCTAGGTCATCAAAGATCTATATAGTTAAGACATAACTACTCTATGAACTGTGATGATAACGAACAGTGATTATTCTGAAAAGTCAATTTAAACAATGCAAATTATGAGCAGAGCCAACACAAACCGGTGGAATCAGATGCCATGAAGTAGTAAGCACCCCTGTCGACCGATGACACCCGCCGTGTACTCCTTGTCATAATCCGGTAAACGGAAAAATCCGTAGACAATTTAGTGTGAAAATAAGGGCCAAACAAATTGTATGAAATATGTCAACATTCGACTTAAAGATTATATTAATTGTTTTTTGTTTGTTGCTTGTTTAACGTCCCTTCGAGATTTTTTATTCATGCCACCAGTTGCCGGTTAAGGACTGCAAATTTAGATTTTTACTCGGCCCTTACAGCCTTTGAGCAGTGAGGGAACTTTTTCGTGCCAGCACCTAGTGTGACAGGGAAACTCTGTTTATACGGTCTCATCCAAAGGACTAGTCTCCACGTCAAACAGTGGATTCGAATCCATACTCTGCGACTCTAAAGCAAACTTTCTAACCACTGCTCCACGCGGGCGGCTGGATTATAGTTTCAAACAAAGTCGTATCAACTACAGAATTAACGAAATGTTGACTTTATAGGAGATTGTTGATATCCTTGTATCCTGAACTTATTGGTCAATAGTCTGCCTCATTTTAGAAACTATTCATACGTTTAACATGCTCTTGCATATCGAACTTGGAGACATAAACCCCGTATGCAGATGATAATGGTATACAGTAAACCTTGGTTATAGCGAAGTCCTTGGCACCTGCGAACTTACTTCGTTATCTGTATAACGAATTCATTAAAGTATAAAGCAAATTCGCAATATCGATGTTTTCCTTCAGGTATGACTACCAAATATATATTGGGAAGTATTGTATACAAACTTACCATGAAGTTTTAAAATTTTTGGATGAAATGTATTTTTGAAAAAAAAAGACTTTGCTATATCCGTAAATGCGGTGTATCAGTGTTCCTAATGAACGAGTTTTACTTATTACTTAGTACAAAAATAAAGGAAGTTAACGATAGAAGAGTTTAAGTCATCAAGTTTATCATTATGTTTCGTTGTCAATCTACCATCAATGTATCTCTGTAGTAAAACATCTTGATATGAAACAGATATGTCAGACTCTGGGGTGTCTTATCTCGAGTTCATATATCGAATCAACGTACGAATGAAAGGGAAGATTGTTAATTGATAAAACGTCGTTGATATATCATTATGTCGAATTGAAGGCCACAGCAAGAGTCTTCTTCTTTTCATGTAGAATTTTTGGGATATATATTCCACAGGCACTTGTTTCGGTAATAAATTTTTAACCCATAGTATGATAATAACACAAGGTATCTAACTCCGAATTACACGGAGTACCCCCCTCCCCCAGAATCGCACTCATTTACACTTTCAGAGGAAATACACTGACAAACTGTTTATACCTATGTTTTCTACGATAATTTATCTACACAACCATATATGGCATGCTTGTTTTTTTTTCTTTAGTCTTATGCTTATTTTCTTTAGTCTCCGTAAACAGCGTCAAAACTCTGCTCGTCGAGTGGAAAAGTCGAATTCAACCATGAAATGGTATACATGTGCTAATCCCGCACAGAAATTTTGATTGGCTAAAAATCTGTTTCTAAAATTACCTCGGATAAACATCCTAATGTTTTCAGGGAAAATCAGCCGTAAACAAATTCTATTTACTCATGCAATATTTAAACACTGGAATTGAATTTTTAAACCCACTCATTTTTTAATTTTGTTCTATGTGCGGGATTAGCACATACCATTTCATGGTTGAATTCGACTTTTCCACACGGCGAGCAGAGTTTGACGCTGTTTACGGGGACTAAAGAAAATAAAGACAAGCATGCCATATATGGTTGTGTAGATAAATTATCGTAGAAAACATAGGTATAAACAGTTTGTCAGTGTATTTCCTCTGAAAGTGTAAATGAGTGCGATTCTGGGGGAGGGGGTACTCCGTGTAATTCGGAGTTAGATACCTTGTGTTATTATTATACTATGGGTTAAAAATTTATTACCGAAACAAGTGCCTTTGATATATTCATATGAAACAGGTTTGAAAATAACGGGGAACAATTAGCGCCCATGGAAATTCCAACAGATTGCTGGAAGACCTGGTCTCTACATATCTACATAGATAATATCAATGAAAACTCAAGCATCTTTTTAATATCAACCTATACATGCTTCAAAACAAACCACGTGTGCTACTTGTCTTTTCATCATATGCTGCTAAAAAGAAAAGTTTTCTGGGATTACGAAAACTGAAATTGTCATCAAAAAAGTCTCCCAGTAAAAACAAAACGTTGTTTACTAGTTTGGTGTTTCAAAAAATTATTTGTGACCAAACTGTATTTCATCAAAACAGTTTTCTTTTTTAAAAAATCTATATACTAGTATCCTGGTATAAAGGAAATAAAAATCCCCGACCATAGATCAAACATGGTCCTAAAAGGGGGATCATAATTTGAGCATTACAATCTACACTTTATGATGAAGCTAAGAAATAAATTTTGTTTCTACCCCTGTGTTTCTCTATTTTTTTCTCAATTTCCTAACCAAACTTGCATAGAGTTAAACTGAGCAATCTTTCACACAACCAATACCTTATATAGCAATATTGTACTGTATGCTTCCAAACATACAGTACAATAACGAAAACCGCTTTGATTAAAACTTCCCTAGATTAGTTCTTAACTTTCCCTTTCCTTCTACCTGATCTGTCCAATTATAATTAAACTTCAAAATCTGCACATCTTTGCTAGCCAAGGGAAAATCCTTGGTTAACGAAGATGAATCTGCATGGAGCTTCATTTCCTGAAAACAACAACAAAATAAAACAATGCACAGATAAATGTAAGATAAGCACAAGTATGGAGCTGTGAATAACACTTGTAATTTGAAAATTTTGATTTTTAAGACTATTTTGAGTTTTATGACCTTGATTATCAAAAAAATATTATTGCATGATGTACATCTAAAAAATGAATACATAATTAATTTTCATAATCTGGAGCTTAAATTACCCCCCCCCCCCCCCCACCAAGTACTTTGATGAAAGGTTCTGTTTGTTACAGAAAACCAGCAAACCAGACACAACAATGCCTGAAGAGGAACAAGATTTATTTGTTCCAAGAAAATTATTCCTATTCAATGTGGAAACTTTTAAGAATTGTCCACAGGTAAAAATTTGACTTGATTCATTTTTTTGAAACACTCTCATGTATATTTCATGGTGAAAACTTTCATGTACCAATGAATACCATTAGTATATTCTGTAAATATTTTATGCATACGTTTTGAATATATATTTATATTCTATGGGAGAAGGGGGGGGGGGAGAATATAGAATAAGTCACATCTTATTGGTTTCAAAAAGCACTTCACAAAATGGTGCTCTCTCTCTCTCTCTTAGAATGTTGAGACAACAACTCTCCATAAGTGAAAAGAAATCAAGGAAGACCTTGGCACCTCAAGTGTAGAAATTGTATTTACTAATTTGTAATAGAATGCATTTTATTTCCATTTGAATTTCATTCAAGAAAAAAAAGAGGCAATCATTGCATAAGTCTGTAGTCTAACACCTAGTCTTGCTATGATAGAGGATTGAATTCCTGAATCCCTTTGCTATATTTACATGACTGAATTCTAGTGATGAGTATTTAAGCTTTGACATATTTACATTACAGAAACAAAATCAACTCAGTAATATAAAATTCAACTTACTTTTACATGTGAGGATTAATTTTATTTCTCAGGTACCTACTCTGCCAAAAAAGAAATCATTTCGACGAAAACTCCAAAAATTCTTTGGGTTCAAATAAGAGAGCCTACTAATCTTTGGAACCTTACGAAGACAGTTGTTATATTTCATGATATTAACTTATGATACATTACTTGGACATCAACTAACATTTTTTTTTATAAGAAATAATCTCTGTAATAAATTTTAATTAATGTCTCAGTTTTTTTCTCTTCTGAATCTTGCGTGCCTCTGTGCCTCAACATGCTCAACGCCATTAGATTTGGTGACGTTCACAAGATTACACTTTGTGTTTTTTCTCAAATAGCCACCACACTTCCTCTTATTAGTCTGACTTACATTCAGTCATGGCAGTAAAAATATAAACAACTAGGCTTTTATGGATACCTAGTCATGTTTTCCATCATTTTAATAAAATATATAAAATTTTTTGACGCATTTCTAAGATTTGTGCATAAAAATGTGTATCCACTGCATGGACTGGTTTCTTGAGATTAATTCAAAATGATTCAAAACTCTTAATGAAATATGTTTTTGTTTGTTTATTGTTTAATGTCCCTCTCAAGAATTTTTCACTCATATGGAGACGCCTAATGAAATATGAAGAGAACGAACAGTAATCAAGCTCAAAAGTTCATTGAAACAGAGCAGAGCAAACATGGACTTCTAAAAACATCAGAGGTGGGATCAGGTGCCATGGAGGAGTGAGCATCCCCTATCGACCGGTCACACTTGACGTGTGCTCCTTGTCATGATCGAGCAAACCAAAAAAATTCATAGACAATTCAGTGTGAAAATAATGGCCTAACAATTTGTATGTAAGCGTTAGTCAACATTTGACGTGATGATAAACTGTATTTGCTGACAAGGTCATTGTATCGACCATAGAATTTGTGAAATGTTGACTTTGACCGATACTGTTGATATTCTTGAATCATCAACTTATTTGTCAATAGCTTGCCTCAAAAAGAATATATTATGGTCATACAAAATATCTCCATAACCTCCTTAGTTTATGGCAAAACACTCTGAAATTCAAAGGGTAGGTAAATACTGTAGAGAACTATATGAACAAAGATACATGCATATAATTATTTAAAGTAGAATGCTTGAATGCATGACATCTGCAATTTAGAATGACTATATTAACCTTCTTAGTTTCCAACAAAAATGTAATGCTTTATTGTTGTTTTTGGTATTCAATCTCAAAATTAGCTACCTGAAAACTTTATATTTTAAAGATCAGGGATATTTTTGTATTGTTTTGTTTCCTTGACTGATAAAAGACAGATAGTTAAGTGTGGCAATAAATGTGTGCAATTTCAATGAAGTGTGGGTAAGATAGTTGCCCCCCCCCCCTTTCCAGTAGGTATTTGCCCGAACCCACAACATATACTTTGGAATACAGTAAAACTCGGTTATAAAGAACTCGCTTATGAGGAAATCTCCGTTATAAGGAACTTTTTACATATCCCATAGAAGACTTCCCACAAATTTTTTTATATAGACCTCTTGGTTGCAATCTTGGCTTTAAGGATCGAAGTAAAATTCAAGGTCCCAGTGACTTCCTTATAACTAAGTTTTACATAGCTTACTTAGCTTTGCTACACCACTGATTTCGCAGTACATGTATAATTAATTAGGCTCAATTAATCAAAATACAGTAAAACGTGCTTATAACAAAGTCCCGAGGACAGACGATTTTGCTTCGTTATATCCTTCAAGTTTACAATACATACCGGTAATAAAGTCATGGGGAATAAAAATTACTTCACTGTAAGCATCAATTCATTATAAGCATGTTTGCTATAACCGTGTTTTACCGTATATTTTCTATCTACTTAAGCATTGTAAAAAGTCTTGGTCGAAAAGAGCAAACAAACATTTTCATTTTAATTTTGGCCTTAAATAGCCTAGGAGTTGAAAGACTTTTCATAATGCAAATTATTGGATATGTCTATATACAGTTCAAACAAGTGAAAATAAAAATGACAACATCTTTCTAGTGATTTTATTTCAATATTACACATAACAAATAAACAACATTCATTAACTTAGTGTATATTATTCGTTTAATTTCATCACAAAAATGAAATGGAAATAACTAAATATGCATAATTAGACATGGCATATCACAAAAAATTTCTCATGTTTATCCAATTTTTTTTTTATATCACAGTAATATATGGTGTTTTAAGGAGCCATCACATCCTTGACCTTTTGACCTCAGCATCACATGAACACACTTAAGCAGCAGACTGTTCTGTCTCTGTCCTTCTCCTGGAGTACAGTTTTCTCTGTTTGGCATCTTGTTCTGCTTTAAGCCTTTTTTGTTCCTCAATCAAAGCTTGCTCCTGAATTTTAGCCACCTCATCCAAAAACTGGAACAGAAGATTGTTAATTATCAATAAATGAAAAGCAATGATTTTGTTTTAGAAATCCAGAAGATAAAAATTATGATGTATATATATTTCAGTGAAATTATGAATAAATAATGACTTCAAATTTTCCTAATCTCATTCAATATGGAAATACTCTTCTTGTACTAATAATGCATATTTTTGATTAATGAAGTATTAAATTCAAAATGCTGAAAATAAATAAATACAGAAATGAAATTTCATATAAAAAAAATAATAAATAAATAATAAACATGCATGCATCCAGATTCTCAACCTGCAATTGAAAGACCATGCAGTATACCTGTAATGTTTCACCGTTTATCATAACTCTTTATACATGATAACCACTGTGAAAATATTAACAACCTCTTGAAACATAGGAAATACTGACACATTAATTTGGATAAAGAATGTCACAGCAATAACTACACAGAAAATATGTAATCTCTTGAATAGCACCGGTATGGATGCCATACTCAGCACTGATTAAGTTTTTTGAAACAGTAAGGCAGTATTCAAACAGGATAGCTACAGGGGCAAAGAAAGCACAGAGAGCATTCAAAATAGCAAGAAGAGTCAGAGTTGATGCTAAAACAGAATAAGACTGTATCTCCACTGTACTAGTTTTTACTAGCAACTTACCTCTGGTTTTGTGTGTTCATTTTTGGGATCAATTTGTCGCTTTGGATCATTCACCCAATCCATAAACAACTTAGCACCCTGAGATTGAGCTATAACATGATTCTGAAATAAAAAAAAGTTCACCTTTGAAAGCTCAGATATAACAATAAAATAAAAACAAAGAAATAGAGTAGAACCAAAATACAGAATGTATTACCAGTTCTTTACTCTTCTTCTTGGCTTCTGACATCTCTTTGTCTTTGATGTCCTTGGGGTTCTCTAACGGTTCATCGTCCTGTCTCTTTCTCCAGGACTTTGGGTCCAGGTACCAAGCTCCATATTTGAACTTTACCCAGCTAGGCTCATATTGGCCAGAGTATTTCTACATTATCAAGAAAAAAAATATTAGTTATTTGCAGAATGACATTTGACTTCTTGAACTGAACATATGAAGTCATTTGACTCCTAAAATATTTTGGTCAAAACAGCAGCATCAATATTTTAAAAGTGTTAAATGTTAGTCTTCTCTTACCCATTTTGTGGACTTTTCTTCTGGAGCGGGAATATTTTTGCTGGTTTGTTGGTTAGATACTGTGGCCTGCTGCCTGAGCTCCTGGGGGACGTTCGTCAGCTCTACAACATGGATAGGGACAGACAGAGCAGGCTTTGTCTCATAACCACTGGCAAACAGACTCATGATTGTGGACTCCTCAAACTTATTCTGATCCCCTCCAAGGCTCTCGGCCACCCAGTCACAGAAATCCTTGGTTACCTTCTTTATATGTTCCTCCTGTCAAAATAGTTCCCAGCATCAATTATTAGTAAAATGAAAAAAAAAACTTCAACATATTAAATACCGATATCTCAAATACTGAAAAATAAAAACTTAAACTCATAATGAATTTCACTATCTTGAATACTTAAATATTCAGAGGTACTCTAATGACCCATTTTGTTGGAAATATTGAAGTCTAACCGTGTTACATATGTATTCTGAGATAAATGATTATTATTCTTTACACCAACAGAGTGTACAACAAGAATCCCCATTTTGTATGAAGGTTTCATTGAAACTGACGTTACCCATTACCTGAGACTCTGATGAGGCACTTTTGTCACTCTTCTTTTTATCTTTTTTGTCTTTTTCATCTCGTCTTGGCAGCCACCTGTAGGGATTCCTTATCCTTGGTTCATCAGAGCTGTGGATAAAGACATAAAATAATAATACATAAAAAAATAAATTTTAAGAAATTGTGTTTCTAATATGCTATTGAAAACTTATTCCAGTCCTCTACACAACTGTAGACTAATGAATGAATAAAGCTCCTTGCTATAAAATTTAATTTTGACATAGGTGAGCTATTTTTTTTTAATTGGATATTTGTGAAGAGATCTGCAATCTTACTCCTGACTGTGGCCTCCTTCTGATTTGAGTACATCCTCCTCCTTTTCCTTTGGTGACCTTTGAACTTCACCATCTTCCTCCTCTTCATCTTCCTCCTCATCCAGCTGATCTGAGAAATCTTCATCTGGATCAAGGTTCATCTCTGGATCAAGTATATCCACAATGTCCTCAAATAGCTATAAATAATGAATGAAAGTTCAATTTAACCATCATCACAAGATGGATTAAATTACTTTTTCTTCAATGTTCTAAATTTCCTGAAATGGCAATCCAAGCACCAAAACAAAACTCATAAAAAATGTGCTAAATTAATTAATTAATCAGTTCAAATCAAGCTAAAATGCAAATTCATATATAAATGAGTTTTTTTTTAAATTTTGTTTGGGCTTTCAAAGCATGAAGCATGGCAATTGTCAACTGCTAGACATTTATGTATTAGAATCTAGCATAAACTAAAATACTGACATACATTATATAATAATTATTAATATCATTTTTTATACCTCTGGAGGGACACTCTCCTCCAAATGAGGGTAAAGAGCCAGAGGGTGCAGTACAAGACTATACTCTATTTCATCTATGTGGTCTCTTCTGCTTTGCTGAAGGGGTGTGGACCGAGAATAACATATTTGGTGTTTGCTGAAGCGATTCTTTACAGCTGGCTGCTTAACTGGACTGATATTTTCACTACTGCCTTTTAGATTAGGGCCTGGTCCTTTATGACCCTGAAATGAAAAAGATGAAGATAATTATATAAGAAAATAATATTTGATGATGATAGGAAAATGATATTTAAAATAAGTATGCAGAAATACAGCATAAATATACATGTTCTAAAATTGAACTTCAATCATTTTCTTATAACTTTAGACATCTTTTCCCATCAAGATGCATTTGTGACCCCCCCCCCCCCCCCCTCATTTTCTACATCAAATATTTTGGCTGGTCCACTCATGATTTCAGCCGGGTAAACGTATCGAGAACTGACAGCTTCTGAAAGTCCTAAATATAGCAAACTGATTTTGTGGCCTACAGAGATTAAAAATAATGAAAATGAGATCTTTTATAATGAATTTTTAAGATATTCAATATTTAAAATATTGAACTGACATTGTTTATTTATAAGTTTATATTAGTTGAAATTCAATTCATCAGAAATTTTTCATACCCAAAGATAAATTTTGTATTTAATACTTCAATGAACATATTCAGTAGTCATACTTGAAGGAAAACATGTACACTTTAATGAATTCATTTAAGGAAAATAACCAATTATGGATATAGTGAAGTAAATTCACAGGTCCCAAGAACTTTGTTAAAAAGAGTTTTAATGTAACAGCTTACTCACATGTACAACTGACAGTCAACTTTATGTCAATTGAAATTCTAGTTCTTACACCTTTTTTGGAAATTTTCCAAACTGACAACTGCTGAATTAAATTACTACCTTGATTATGTTGATGCAGTAGTTCCACATACTGACGAAATGATTATAACATAGTGACATACACTAACATGAATTCAATCCTGCCAGAACACTGCAATATGTTTTAAGGAATAACTTGATTAGCACAGTTTTCAAATACTGTGGATTCATCATATTTCATTGAACACCAATTTTCCTTGTTTTCATGGTTGAGTCAGCCCATGAAATTAGGTAATTCAATGAACTACAAATTTTAATAATATAAAGGAGGAGATAACTGTCCACAAATTTACACATCAATGAAATTTTTTTTTTTGGAGGGGGGGAGGGGGGTTGGTAAAACCACAAAATTTGATCCCAATAAAAATTAATGAAACAACACTAGATCTTTATACATGTAGTTCTTCAAATGCAGATAGAGTATTCTATTTTATGCTTTAATATCTACATATTACTCTGAAAGATATAAAGTTGAGCTTTGTTATCTCGAACACTGGTATTTCAAATACCAGGCATATATCGAAGTGAGTTGGCAGTCAATGGCAGTCCCAGCCTTTTATTCTTTATGTTTCTTACCATTGTTTATCTCAAATCATTGGATACCAGTATCTCAAAGTTTAACCTCTCGTCGAGTTTGAAATAATGAGGTTTGACTGTATTAGAAATAAACTCTGTATCTATGAAGAACTGTGGTAGAAAATGCTCTATATCTTAGCTGGTTATGAGTAAACACAGTTGTAAAACATGTATATGCAAGAAGTGGGGAAGTTTCTGGCAAGATATATAAAGGAAATGAAGTAGACACAATGCATTCATTGCATACATGTATGTTTACATTCTATGTTTCATACATGCAAATGGGAAGTTGAATTACAGTAGGCAGTTTCTTTCACATGCATTTCTATGTATTATACATGTATGTTGAATAATATCTTCAACAAAAAATGTCTATTTAGTATTACTAACAAATAAAAAAATATCACTGACTTTTATTAATATATCTCCTTTTACTGGTGGTGGGAGGCCATCTCTGAAGTCATCTAAACCATCCTTTAGGAAGAGCCAGTCCTTTCCCAGTAGTGCCTTTGATGTGTCTTCTGGTTTCAGTGATTTGATATATTTTGTATGTAATCTTTCTTTGTACCTGTCCAATAAAATATTGCAATTGATAAAAGTCTGCATTATACATTAAGTATATACAATGGATTGTCGAAGAAATGAATTGACAACTATGAGGATTCTAAATAAAAATTTATGATGAAATAAGTAAAGAAATATATTATAATACACCTATTTACTAGGGATGGGTATCGCCAAAAATTTCGTATCGTAATATATCACGATTTTTTCTCCAAAATATCACGATAATATCGTGATATTTTTACACAGAATTTTTACTACAATTTCCAATGAATTTCTATAATTTTTCTTACAAATAGGCTGTAAAAACATAACTTCAATTTTCTTCATTTTAATTTATATAATATAAATCATGTTTGGATGCCGTAGTTTAACTTTTTTTTTCAACATTTTTTAGACTTCTTGTAATTTTTATTTAATAGTTCGAAGATATAAATGAATAATTTCCGGAATTTTTAATTATGCACCAAATACCGGTATTTTAGTCTCCGTATCACGATACATATTGCGCAATAAAAAATCACGATATACCGGTATTCCAATAAAATCGTGCATCCCTACTGGCTTTGATCACAAAAGCAAGTTTATTGTCCCCCAAGATAGCAACTATTTTCTGAGGTGCAACTGAGGGAAATAGTTGCTGTCAATGGGAACAATAAACTTGCTATTGCCTGAAAAGTCAGTAAAAAGGAGATTTATTAGACTGAAACAGTCACATCATGATCCAGATAAAACCTGAGAAATGTTCCAAGATGAAACACAAGGGAAATAAACTGCTGCAAGTGAATAGTTAGACAACTACAAAATGTATTTCACCGTGGGCAAAAAGCACATAAACTATTTCACGACAGAGGCTGTTTAGAAAAAATAGCAAATTTATTTGTCATATTTTTATGTAGAAAAAAAAAAAAAAATAAACAGAGGTATAATAAACATGCATATTATATATATACCTTACACAGTTTTTTTTTTTAAGTATTAACTCTTCAACATAAGGTTCATAGAAACATGTTTATCAAGTTATGTAGTTCTATGTGTATGTACTGAAGGTTAGTATATTTGGCAATTCATGAATTAAATCCTTCCCTCATGTGCACCACCTGAGACATTGATAAACACTACAACATCACAATGTTTTAATTAATTGTATTTTTACTATCTTGTTGAAAAGTGGATTCCATTTAAATTTTAATTCAGACCTAGATGTAACTGTTTCAGTAAACAGGTAAATAGGACAAAACCTTGACTGTGAATGCTCTAAAGTAGCAATGTTGTGTAAATCAGTTTTCCATAAATTGTTTTTAATATCAGCTGTATAAAGAAAAATTAGAGTATCGTGGATAACTTGATCAAGCTATTTGAATATAGTTATTTTTAAGCTAGACATAAACCTTTCCTTATCTTATCCACTATATTAATAAAATAAAATCATACCAAGGTTTTTCTCTTATCTTTATTCCAGATGCAGTATTAACCAAAGCCAAATCGTACTTTAGTTCAGCCATCACGTTCGATAGTCAGCCATTTGTTTATACCGAAGATATCAGAAACGGAAGTGATTACGCAAGTAAGAACATGCTTTCTCCTATTCTGCATCAAAATAAACTTTCCCTGTTCTCTTAAAATATGTCATAAAAAGTATTTATTTTTCACGAATTCACTCTTCTCTTTAGAGGAACCGCTATTACAAGGTTTTTGAAAATAATAAAAATAGTTCCTTGCGCCTCCGTTGTCAAGGAGTGTTTTCAGTGGCGGGAATTTTGAATTCCAATATAAATTAGATGGTATTTAGTTAAAATATTGATTGCTTTAATAATAAATATAGAAAAGGCTTATACGATGCAATGGATACTTAGATATGTGTAAGTGCACATAGTTGCTGGACAGATGCACGGGCACTGGAAGTTAATGTAAATATTGAATGTGTGCATGTATAAACTGATAAAAAAAGGATTTATATATTTTTTAAAAAAACATGATGTTAATACCTGCCTTTAGAATATATATATCTAAAAAAAATCATAGGAATTAATTTGAAATAATATGATATAGGATGTTCTGTGGGCATTCATTAGAAATCTTTTGAATGATACTCTGCTGTAGAACGTTAACACACTCAGGCCCGTAGGAAGCAAATTCACTTTGAGGGGGCACATCCATACATTTTCAGTTGAAGCAGAGACATATAACATGTTATATGTCTCTGGTTGAAGGGGCACTATCAACTACCTTGACAAGCAAAAAAAAAAAAAAAAAAAAAAAAAAAAAAGGGCATCAGAGGTTTTTATTGAGGGGGCACAAGCATATAGTAGCTAAGTTTTCTACAGTATTCTGTATATCGGCAAAATTATTGGGGGGGGCACGCCCCCCCCCCCGTGCCCCCCGGTTCCTACGGCCATGACACTTTCATTTAAGTTATAAATTTACTTACTTCTTAATATTTTACACTATTTTCCTCAACGAAAGGGGAAAGGGGCAGAAGCATTTTATATTATAAGGGGACGACCAATTGATTCCGGGGGGGGGGGGGGGGGGCTGGCAAATTTTTCCGAGTCAATTATTTATTTCATGTCAGTGAACATGGTGAAGGGCAGATAATTTATTTCCAAGATGTTCGATGACAGATTACAATGGAGGATTTATCATCCGGCGCGCGCACCCCTAAAATTGTCAAAGTTAGCGTAAAACATAGATCTATGTAAAATGTCTACTCGGTAGACCTCTTTTTTACCCTTCAAAATCTCTAGAATCAAGGAGCTTCCGGGGGCTTCTCCTCCCTGGGCCCACTGGGGGCCTTAAGGCGGCCCAGACCCCCTGTCTACTTTTTCGCCCCTTAACTTCAATTCCTGGATCTGCGCCTGGATTATTTATTCTATTTTCTTCTTCATTGAAAAAAGTCTGACAAAAGGAAATGCCCAAACTCCAAATCTCTATTTCGGGAATGGGGGGGGGGTAACACTAGTCAAAGACATGCTTATTTATTTCCTTGCAAGTCGAGAAAAGATGATTTATTTTCAATATTTTCGAGGACAGATTATTCATTTTATTTATTTCTAAAATCCGCCACCCCCCCCTTCAGAATTAAATGGTTGTCCCCTAAATTTATTGTTTAATCCTCTTTTTGAAGTTATTTGACATTGAATGACAATGATAGGAATGTATCAAACATGTTCTTTCACATTAAATAGAAATCCCGGCCAATAAACGTGGCTTTGGCCTGATTTTTTTTGAAAGGGTTAAAACTTATCTTGTGACTAAATAGTGAGACTAAGATTAAAAGTGATCTCGTTTCAGTTCTATGGCCCATTTATTTCGAATAGGTGATATCACTTATTTAATTTGAATGAGTGATATCACTTGTTTGAATAGGTACGAAAGCCTATTAGGATCAATATATGGTAAAAAAAAAATAATTAAAAGGCATTATAACGCCTTTCCAAAAGGCGTTATAACGCGAAAAAAGGCGTAATTACGCCTTTCCAAAAGGCGTTATTACGCCTTTTAAAAAGGCGTTATTACGCCTTTCTAAAAGGCGTTATTACGCCTTTCTTAAAGGCATTATTACGCCTTTTAAAAAGGTGTTATTACGCCATTCCAAAAGGCGTTATTACGCCTTTCTAAAAGGCGTTATTACGCCTTTCCAAAAGGCGTTATTTCGCCTCTTATTTTTCAATACATGACTTACTCAGCACACACTGGGGACTGATTATAATTATATTTCCAGGAAAAAAGATTTTTAAATGTGTAAAATATTTTCAGTGTTAAATCAACTTAGTCCCTCTCTGATGCCAGACACCTCTACCAAGGTGCATGGATTTCAGAAATTTGGTTGAAGGCTAATTGCTCATTATACCTATGCAAATAGTTTGCCTGTTTTTTTTCAAGAGGAGAGAAAAATATTTCAAATTTGACATGAATTTTTAATACATGGCTAGCAAAGCCCAAAGCTGGCTCTGCCCATATCCTGGATTTTCAAAAGTAGAGTGTTGACTTCTCTTAATACGCATGCAAACAGCTGTCTGCGAGATGTGCAGGAATATAGAAAATACTATAATCTATAATATAATTTATCATATTAAAACTATAAATATTGCATAAATAAAGATGACTTTGGTTTAATCTTTCATATATTTATTATTTTAAAATAACGCCTTTCCATTTTTGGATATAACTCCTTTTCAAACAGGCCGGTAGTACGAATGCGAGTGGGTGGGTGGCTCCCCCTCCCCACTTTTTAGGAGAATAGTCTTGCTACAGTTTAAATATAAAAAATCATTTATTGATTGATTGCTTGGTCCCTTAACATTTTGTTGCAGTATGGTTAAACTCGGGCAAGTCATTGCATTTAAAAAAGTTTTACCGATAAGTTAGAAAAAGATTCCCCTCAAGTTTAGGCAGTTTATTTTTTTTCGGGGGGGGGGGGGGTTGTTTCTTGTTTTTTTTGTTTGCTTGTCAATTTTTATGGGAGGCTGTTTCCCCCCCCCCCCTTCAAAGGCACGGATCTGTCAAAGACATAATAATGGCTCTTCAAAAGGCATAATAACGCCTTTTGGAAAGGCGTATTAATGCCTTTTAGGAAGGCGTAATAACGCCTTTTAGAAAGGCGTACTAACGCCTTTTTGAAAGGCGTAATTACGCCTTTATTTGCGTTATTATGCCTTTTTCCGCGTTATAACGCCTTTTCAAAAGGCGTTATTACGCCTTTTTTCGCGTTATAACACCATTAAAAATTTTTTTTTAACCATAGTTTGATCCTAATAGGCTTTCGTAAATAGGTGATATCACTTAATGGCAATAAAATATACCAAAACGGCCCCTCATACTAGACATAGTATGCAATTCTCAAATTATTGTATGTATTCTACATTCAAATCCTATGTACTAGATCAATTCGGGATGCAGTGCTATGTGTACATGTATTTTGAATACTCAAACTGTCTTTTTACTTTGACTTTTTCCTTTGAACTGGAAAACGATTCACAGGGACACATCTTTGCCTCATTGTTTGTGTCCAGGTCATGTAGGACTGATGATTTCATACAATGTACAACTGTATTATCGAATTGTGAAACTTCACAATTTGACTTACAATCTCAAACAGCTTCTGAAATGCTGATAATTCCCCGACGAATTCTAACAACCTACTTTAGCTAGACTATATCTAATGCTATGGCTCCGTCTTGATCGAAGACCTTTGAACAACTTTTTATTTACTGATTAGAAAAACAAATGTTAAATACATTTTTATTTATAAACAAGAGGCCCATGGGCCACAAAGCTCACCTGAGTCACTTTGGCCCTGCTGTTCTTCGTCAGATTTTCCCCCTTTATACGTGTGTATTCCTATGTAAAATTTGATTCGCTTTTTGTGGCCCTATCCTATATACAGGGCCATGATTTAAATAAAAATTGAATCTACACTACCCGAGGATGCTTCTAATCATGGCTTTGCTGTTCTTCAGAAAAGAATGTTTTTAACATATTTTCCTATAAATTCCTATGTAAATCGATGATAATCTAGTGTGGCGTCACCCTACCCTTGGGTTTCAAGATTTCAACAAATTTGAACTACACCACCTGAGGATGCTTCCACATTGAAAAAAAATGATTCGCCATGGCTTTGCTGTTCTTGAGAAGAAAAGTTTTTAAAACGTTTCCTATAAAATCCTATACAAAACTTTGATTGCCTATTGTGGCCCCACCCTACCCCTGGCGGTCATGATTTGAAAAACTTAAACCGACACTACCTAAAGCTGCTTCTATATTAATATGACTGATCATGGCTTTGCTGTGCTTGAGATGATTAAAAAAAAAATTCACATGTATTCCTATATCAAACTTTAGATTGCCTATTGTGGCCTCACCCTACTCTCGGGAGAGGGCATGATTTGAACGATTTAGAATTTACACTACCTCATAAAACTTCCACATTAGTTTCACATTTTCTGGCACAGTGGTTCTTCAGAAAAAGATTTTTTAATGACCCCACCTTATTTTCGTCTTTTCTTGATTATCTCCCCTTGGAAGAGAACTTTGTCCTTCATTTTAACAATTTAAACTCTCCTTTACCCAAGAATGCCTTGTACCAACTTTGGTTAAAATTGTGGTTCTTGAGAAGTTGAGAATGTGAAAGGTTTACAGATGGACGAACGACGGACAACGAGTGATCAGAAAAGAGCGCACTTGAGCTTTCAGCTCAGGTGAGCTAAAATTGTTATATATATATATATTTAAAAAAGGTTTGAAACCTCATATGGCACAACTGAGTAGCACCCCTACACCAATAATGAAAATAATTAACATTACAGATTTGATCTGTTAGAACTTAAGCAGATGTTCACAATCTCATCTTTGAAAAATCTATCAAAATATACAGATTTTTTAAAATCCCAGTTGGATTACAAAAATTGGTTAAATTTTCTGATAGATTTAAACTGTTTTTGCTTACACACATATTACCAGATTACCACGATTCCTTGCATGGATGATTGAAACTTAAGACAATTAGTTAAACAATGAATTATTTCATTATTCTGCAAAAAC